GGTTGATACTATGTTCTTAGCTTCAAAACATATTTTTATATAAATAGATACACAGTTTGCTGTGTATCTAATGTAAACCTCATCTACAACATGGACAGATAAATTGGCTAATGAATGAGTGCCTAAGTCTGGATTTTTTTTGTTTTGAAATTGGACAAAATCACTAAAAGTGTGGTTTAGAAATTATGCAAAGAAAACATTGGCTGTAATTGTTGAATGATTTTCTTTTTTAGCTTTTAACTGTGAGCCCACATAAACCTAGAAACAAACAAAATTAAACACCTTAGAATGTTCAATTGGTTTTGAGGAGAATAGTTTTTTTTAAGGTAACTTCGTATATTGTATAATGTTATCAATAAGGAATACAGCAAGAACTTTATTGTTGAAGAACATATATTACTTTTTGGAGCTCAAAATAAAAATTTTGAAATTCACTGTTCAGATTGGCTGTTTGTTTTACAAGAATAAAGATAAAATATTATTAAACATCTATTTTTGCACCTCATGTCGAATACTATGCTACATCTGCTTGCTTATCTAGAAATCCTCGTTATTGTATGAAAGTATGACTTTCATGTACATGTGAAAGTGAATTAAGTATTGTTTAATGTAAACGATTTTACATTAATTAATTGCTTGCACATGTAACTTGTAAAACTGTTACTGTAGAACATTAACTAAAGTTAGAAAATGTTTTTTTTTGCATATTTATCAATGTAATTACTTAATAATGGTGGTTTTTAGATTCTAACTATTCCTTATATAGAAGTGTTAACATTAGATAGTAACAGTTGCTAGTGATGTGGCTTGGGGTTGTGTGTTTGGACCTTGTGTTATCTATATACTACTAAAACTCTGAGATTGTTTGTGTGTTTGCTTGTCTGTAATTAAATACAGCAAAAACGGCGTACAATACCACCATATTTGTAATGAAATGAGAATAGAAACAGAATAAAACAAGTTTTGTTAAAATCTGGCCACGGGTTACCGAGTTAGCGCCGTTTTTCGGGTCACCTTTCGTAACTATGGAGATGAAATAATAAAATAAAAAACAAGTCGAGAACAAAAACAAAATTTTATAAACGAAAACCTCTCGCCGAGCATTGGCTATTATGTTATTTCCCTGTCAATGTTCCCATCTTCATTAAAAGGTGTAAGATGACAAAAACAAGATCTTGAAGAATCTATTTATCTATCCATTATTATAAAACTTCGTTTTACATCTGATGAAGCACTTTAAAATATCTTCTATACAACAATATATGCACAACAGAAATTAATTGATGAGATGAAAATGTGTTATAATGGTGCATAGAAAGAACAACAATAAAATGGACCTACAATATTATTGACTATTTCCAAACAGTAACTATGGAGACAAGGTAATAAAATAAAAATCAAGTCAAGAATAATGACAAAATTTTATAAACAAAAAGCTCTTGCTGAGCATTGGCTATTATATTATTTCCCTGTCAATGTTCCAATCTTCATTAAAAGGTGTAAGTTGACAAAAACAAGATCTTGAAGAATCTATCTATATAATACTAAAACTCTGAGATTGTTTGTTTGTTTGTTTGCTTATTTTCTCAGTCAAAAAAATCATTCACACTACGATTCGCGCTTTTTACGAAACTTCTTACTTTACTTTTTTGAAAAATGAAATGGTCTTTCCTTTTACTCCCGATCGAAAATCAAATATATTTTCTTGAATTATGAATAACACGAATGGATTGAAATATTTAATTAAATTATCTCAAAATAAACCTTCATTTTGATGCAATATTGAAATTAGCTTGAATTTTTCATAATCTCTGAATAGTGGGTGACCCAACGGGTCACAGGTTGTCTAGTTCTCAACTAATCTTAAGAT